CTCCCTTTACCTGCTACAATAAGATATACTCATATAAGAGTTTGGAAGTGCTTTGAATAAATAGTTTTTCTTTTCAGTATACATGTATATATACATAAGTGTCTTAATCTAGTCCCATTTACCATACTCCCCCCATGCACCCCCCATACACACAAACATTATTTGCTACCTATGGTCCCTCCCCTCCCTAACCCAGAATCCATAACCAAACACTGAATTATGGTACAGAACAATAGAGGTACTGGTAGAGAATATTTAATACAACAGTAATAAGTCAAAGAATAACACAAATGTCACTGCTGGGAACACAAACTAATGTCCATTGTTCTTTTGTAACTCAGCGAGACTTCTCTGTTCCCTTTGTCAAGATGTCCCATTGTATCCATTGATATCTCCACAGGGAGCCTTACTTGCTGTGTCTTTTAAACACAGCAGCTGTGAGATTTGGCAGTCTCACAGTCTTTCCCTGGGAGTATTCAATTTCACACAGCCCACACAACCACTAGGTTTGAACCAAATAACTAGTATATGATGTGCTTGTACACTTATGCCTAGTACATTGTCCATAATTCCACAGATCTTGTGAGCAAAGACAGAGCAGTGGTGAAAGCTTAAAAGCTGAAAGTCATTACAGTATCATCAAGTACAGTTCCATTGCATGGGATCTCGGGATATTGCTCAGGCAGACACTGAATTAGGAAATAAACTTCACTAACTACCCTACAAAGTCCAAGGAGTCACATATTTTTTTAATTGGGGGAATTTTAGAAATTATTATATTTAAACTTTACCTTATTGAGGGATTTTTTTACACTAGATTTTTTTCATGTGAGTACCAAGTTGTAGATACAAAGAGATTAACGAACAGCCTTTTTGTAAACCTACAAATAGAGCAATCTTCCAACAGTTAATGAAGATTTGCCACCACCTTTAGATCAGTATTCTAAGTGGGGAACCCTATAGATCACAGGCTTCAAGTGTTAGCTGGATCTGTGTCTTTCTCTGAGATGCTTTCTAAGATCTTCACAGATCCTCAAACTGATGAAAACTATTTTCAGCAGGATCTTATCACAAAAGAATAGCAGGATTCATTTGTGAATTGTAAATTCTGATGCAACCTTTAAACTACTGCTGTTACCATAAATATATTTACATAAATTTAAATATGGACACTTCCTTCAGGGTCTGAAAATATTATGTCAGAAAATTTTCAACAACCTAATATCTGCATTGTTTCCTTCTTGCTTGCTTTGGCCACTCAGATAAAATTAATCTTTCCCTCAGTATCAATCTTATCTTACAGTGCAAAGGGTGACCCTCAAATCTCTATGTAGAACAACAGAAGCTGATCCAGTGCTTTACTTTTTAACAGAAAGTTCCATTCAACAGAACATTTGAAAGTGAAATCTACAGTCCTATTCAGATTCTCCAACAGTCTTTAGTCTTTCAATATGGGGTAAAGCAGTGACAACAAACATTTTGAGAAATACCAAAAGATCTTACTTTAAGAATTACAAAGACATCATCATGTATAGTATATTGATATTAATATTATAAGGGAAAAGATTTTGAAGTAGACACATACAAAATTGTGAACAAGATTATCAGAATAAACAACTTCATTTGTACTCATATACTATCTACAATGGTCCATGTCCTTCATGTGGCCCAAAGGACAATAGTGTCCATCAGTGAGACTTTGCCTCATAGTCCAGAGATGCTGACAGACTTCACCAATGACAGAGTAACAAGTGGATGTTCCACATGTATAATCCTAGTTCCAGAGAAACACTTGCTGATATTGAGGCATATACCTCTCCTGGTGCAAAACTACTTATTAAACCATTTAATGAAGAGACAACGATATACAACTGTAAAACTTTCCTCATAAGATAGACAGGAGTATTATTTTAGTTCTCTGTTCTCTCTTCTCTACATGTGTAAATGAAGGATCAAGCCAAGTGGTGAAGCTTTTATGAATTCTGAGCTGCCCACCAACTACACTTGCAATACATTTTTAAAGGTCATTTAATTTCCTGTTTCCTAGCATTAGTCAGCAAGACCCTTTTCCTCTTATTAAAGGGTTTTTATATTCCTCTCCGTAGATTTGTGTAGTTATCTGTGCATGAATGTGTTTCTGTTCTATATATGCTATTCCTCTAAGAGTTTCTTTTTATGTGTGTTTAAACATAAATACTTACCAGGTTTTGATGCCAGAAATGTAAATATTACAACAGATTTGAATAAAGTAGTGTTAGTGACTGCAATATTGTACAAAGCAATCTTCTAATCATCTATAAAAGTGCTGAAAAGTTCACAGAATTTGCTCTTTCAAACAGATAATTGAGTGAAGAATGGTGACTAGAAAAATTAGATTTGAGATAAGCATTATCAATGAAAACCTGGTATGTTTTCAACCAATCTGTGTATGTGCATTTTTGTACGGGTGCTTGTACACATATGTGGGTGTTTATGTGTTTTTGCACATGTGTGCTATGTACAGGTAAGTGTGTTGGTATATTTATATGTGTTTGCTTATGTGTGTGAGTGTATGTGTCTATGTGACTGTGATAGCATAGAAAGATACCTTAACTATGGGGAAGGAATTTTTAGTGAAGGAGAGCATCAGCTCAAAAGACCTATGAAGAATCTCCATTCTATATATACAAGTGACCAGTACATAGCATTGATTACCAGCATCCTACATATCTTTGTCAGGGGATGAATTCCCTTCCTCCAACTTATCCCATTATGAAAATTAGGCCAGCTATGTGGAATATTACTCTCACCGAAGCATTTCTCCAAATGTCCTAGCTTAGACCAAGATGTGATTTCTTGTCATTGGACAAAGGTCGGGATACATTTGAATTTACAAGAGTGAAGAATTTAGCAACTTCTCCTGTCTGTCATTACTGTCATTCTCTCCTTGTTCACATAAACATTTCACAAGTGATGACATTCTGCTAATAACAAACAGTGGTACTAATAACACACATTCGTTAGGGAATAGACTTTAAACTGTTTCTTCAAAACTGAAAATGAATTTTGGAAGGCCATTTACACAACAGTTTTTCTGGGTCTTCCAGGCAGCTAATAACCATGTCTAGGAAAAGGCTGGCTAGGATGAGTACTGCTGTCTGTGTAAAAGAACACACATGGGGCTTTTAAATCACATGATTAGAGTTCTTTGGCACAATACTCAAACCTACAGAGTTAAATGGCTGCACATAGGTTAAAACCTAGGACCTAGAGCTCATTTGTACCAGGTTCAAACCAAATAAATCCCCAGCCAGAAACTGCTTACAGTGGTACCACCCTCAGATTTGCTGGGTGCTGTGTTCAGACTAGGTGCTGCCGAAAAAAAATCTAAACAAAACCCTGTAAAAAATCAGACTGTTTAGATGCCCAATTCTTCAATGATCCCATACATCAACACAGCTGATGGCACATGAAGTTCTGCGAGTGTAAACTTTCCAGGCAAGTCAGCAGCAAATATTGAGGCTAGATTATCTGTCAAGCATGGAACATTCCAGATTCTCAGCCTTACTGAAGACATAAAAAGTCTAATTCTTGTAGAGAATAGGGACAGGAGTAGGAAGGGGTCTTCCTGGGAATGAGAGAACATTAGGAGAAAATACAATTGTACAATAATCATTTAAATCACAATGATAGCTCTTTTATCCAAATTTCTCCTACGTCTAAGCAGGAGGAGGATAACAGAGCAAGGTATGATTCCTCTAAGAAGCGCTGGGTACAATTCACTCAGCACTCATCTTTTCTGACCCTGAACAGTTAGTCAACTGCCCTGAGATTTAGCTATCTTTCCAAAAGGAAAATGAGTGGGAAGGAAATATTTCTGTCCTTAGTTAGAAGAATAAGAAGTATTTACATGAGGAGAGAGGGAAAAAACCAGCAGGGCTCACAGCTAACAGAACTACTAACCTCAAAAGCAGTTAAAGCTAAAAGGAGAATATACATGGGTGTCAGTTTCTACTGGTGACAACAGGAAATGTCATCTATCAATTCTAGGGTTTCTCCAAATAGCTGGTCTTATATGTGAATAATAAATGGTCAATATTTTTAGTTGGTATGTTTAGGGTAGAAAGGGAGGGGAGGGGAACAATTAATACATGAAAGTGAAAATGGAAAGAAGCAGAGTTAAAGCTACAATTAACCATCTTCTTCCAATTTCTCTTTGGTCTGAAAAGAAAAGCAACACTGCAGCAAGTGAGGAAACTAATCAGAAATGTTTGACATTCTAACTCCAAAAAAACCCTACTTGTCCCAAGTAGGATCAGAGTATCCAAAGCTAAACTCTAGTTAATCTTCTTCACAGTCCCGGAGACTGGCTTATCCCTTTCTAGAGGAATCCTCAAAGGACACTGAATAGTATGTCACTGTTACTAAGATAATGATTAAGATGAGGAGAAGACAGATAGTGTGAGAGAAAGAAATAAAAGCAGAGGCACACATTCACTCTCAGAAGATGACAACTACATCTCAAAACTGCTAAAGGCAATAGTGTGGCAAACTAATTATAAAGTTTACAGCAAATGCAGCAGCAAAAGTCTAAAGCCAGTAAGCCAGACCTGGGACTACTAACAAGCCCCAGAATTATTCAATGGTAGTAGAAGCCTATTGATATTATTTTTTAATTCTTTTATAGTTTCTAGAAGTTATTTCTCTTCTGGGGGTGTTGTTATGGAGAATGGCAAGCTTTTTTTGTAGTGCTACTTTGGGCACTTCAATTTTCATTATATTCAGAAGAAAACGATCATTAAATCATTGTATAACGACCTGGGGAAATAACTCAGGTTGAACCCTTTAGCTGTCTTGTCTTTTCCTCTACACCTGTAAGATTTCTCATTCTCACTCCATTACAGAAAATGTTTCAAACAACTTGCACTTACAAGGTGCTTTGACTTCCCAGACATATCTGAAAAAAATTCAAGAATTCTACTTTTCTCTCCTGGCAATTTGCTAGAAATATCATAAGGGGTTTAGCATGTTATCCATTTAAGTAAAATACATTTAAGAATTGCTAGGGGTTTTAACAGCTCCCAAGGCAATATCAGTAATCAAAAAACAAGAACCATGGCATGGTGGTATACAGGAATGGAGAGGGACATTGGTGAAGAGAAACAGGTGCAGTTCAGGAAACCCTAAGTCAGAGTGAAATTTTCTTGTCAGCAGTACAGAAACATCTCTAATGCATCTGGATGTCGGATATCCTCAGTGTACTTGGTGTGGAAAGAAAAAGTAGGAAAGGAGAATATGAAAAAAAGACAGGGAAAAATGAAACCGTAAATGAGACATATGGTGGCTCACATGGCCTCTATCACTCAAGTACCGGCCCCACCCTCATGAGAAGTGAATAAATTCTAGTTATTTTAGCCTCATCCTATCTCTGGTATTTTGAGGATGAGTAAATCTTGCGGTCTGGGCAGCTTAAACTCTAGGCACTGAAGGGTAAATAAAAGAGATTTCCACTACTGGGGAGGGAGGGGGACTAGGTAACTCATCAAAATCTTTAAATCTGGGGAATATGGGCACGCCAGGATTAGGATCCACAAAGGAAGGGCGGTGGGTAGGTGAGACAGAGTTTAGTTGGTGGTGCTCCCCTCTCAGGCGGCTGATTCCGCCTAGTACCATCTTCTGGATTTCCAGGATGATCTTCTGAACTTCAATCCGGAAGCTGTCGCTGAGCCAGAAGTAAATGTAGGGGTTGTAGCAGGAGCTGCTAATTGCCAGCCAGTGGAAGAAAAAATAAAGGTTGTGATGGCTTGATATCGCCTCACTGGATAGCAACACCAGGTAGAGGTTGAGGGGGAGCCAGCTGACTGTGTAGAGAAGGACCACTGTCATCAGCATCTTCAGGGTCTGCTTCTTCTTCCCACGTTGGCAGATGTAAGTATGGATATTGATATCGTCAACAGCATCATGGATCCACAGCTTCTTGGCCACATGACCATAGACAGCCACCAATATCATCAATGGCAAGATGAAGAACAGCAGAAAGGTGCTCAGGTCAAGGTATTTCCACGCAGATTTTGAAGCATGTGGGAAACTTGGGAGGCAGGCAATTTCTTCAGTCGTGTTTCTAGATTATAAAACAAAGAAAGGAAATCATCATTATTTTTTGCCTTTTTCTTAAGACCACCAGGTAACTGTTGCATGGCACTTAGGCTTTAAGGGAGAGACATATCTACTGTTTGGGTGTACACTGAGCCAAAAGCCAAGGAAACTCTGACTTTTACTTTATACAGAATTTTCAGGTGACATATAGGAAAATTGTGGTCCCTCCCCAACAGGAAAGGATATGCCTAATATCCATAGCCATGAGAGTTTCTGGGAATGCTTATGATAAATTCCAGTTAAGAGAAATTTATTTTTGTACTCATGCTTTAAATGGTATTACTCAAACCATGACTTCTTTCATGGGGCTTCCAAGATTATGGGTTGCTGGAATTCCAACGCTGGTCATTCTTTGCTCTTACCCAATTTTCACCTGGTAAAGCTTCTGGTAAATGGCATGAGGCAAAGCAGCACAGGTGCTCAGGATCCATATGATAATGATGCAAACATTGCCTTGCATCAGACTAATACGGGCCTTCAGGGGATACAGCATCACCTGGAAGCAAAAGGACCCAGTTGAATTCAAAAATTCGATTAAGTTACCAGTCCTTCATCAACTGACTTACTGATGCAAAAATACAGAGATGTTGTATGTGGATAGGTAATGTGCTTTGAGTACTTTTGGATACTTTTTATTCAGTTGAAAATATGTGGCATTTTGCTCTATGACAGAGTAACAGCTAATGTTGAGGGAATCATTTTGATTAGAAGTCAGGAATCTACACAGGCTATCTTGAAAGCTCATGTCCTGAGTAGGGAGTTCTGTGAAGAGGACAGATGTACAAATGTGTGATTTAATTTTCTTTCATGTTGTATTGATGAGTATGCCCTCCACATATTACTTCGTATCCCCCACCCCACACTTGGCTCCTCTCATGCCCTTTCCCTTCTTTCTCCTTCCCTTCCTCCCTCCTTGCCTCCTCCTGTCTCCCTCCTTCTTCTACCACCCAGATCCCTCCGTGGTCCAACTCGTTTGGCTTCAGCCACAACCTCTTCAGTCTTCCCCTTTGTCCCTTGCACCTCACTCATTTACTGGTTCTCTCCCAGCTGATTAACAGGTAATCCCTCCGAGCTTCTTATGACTTCCTTTTAAGCCATTTGCAAATTTTTTCCCAGCTCTCAGCTTCTCATCACTTCATCCCCTCCTACTTTAACTCCTCAGCCCTCCCTCAAAGACTCTACACCCACCTCCCGGCCTCACTCCACCATCAACCCTGAAGCCATACCCATCCCTGACTCATCTGCTCCCTGTCTCTTCTCTTAGCTTCTTCTGCAATGCAGCAAGTAATAAATGTTTTCTAAAGGAAAAGAGCATTCTTCATTATTTGTTCATTGCCACATCTCTGTTCCCACAGTGCCATATGAATATAGTAGCAGTTTTATTCTAAAAGATTTGCCTTGGTGAAGGTCTGTATTTCACCATCTTGCAGTCCCCCTAAACTATACATATACATTCACATATGTTGTCTTAAGGTACTTCTACATTTTGTGTGATATTTTCTATTTACCTAAAAGAAGAATACATGACTTTATAAGAAATGAAAAGCACATACCCGATGTCGGTCCAAAGAAATAGCAACCATGGTCATCACAGTTACATAGGCACAGGAGAACTGCGCAAAACAACTGAGATGACATGCCATCTTCCCAAGTACCAAGGAATTACAAACATAGCGCACCTGTGGTAGAGAAGGCTCAGGTGAGTTACGAGGACTATACCCTGGATCCACCACTCTAACAAGTAAACCTTCTTAGCTTCACTGAACTGCTAGCATTATTGTCTCAAAAAGCAAAGAAATATTTCCACACTGCAGTTCTCATGCTCTTCCCATCTCCCCCAACACAAACAGTCCAGATTTAAGACAAGGAAGGACACCAAATCATAAGAGATGTTAACCACCTTGAAGTCTAAGCAATGCTTTTTGAAAGGTAGGGAAACTGAGGCTGTGTCTTTGTGATAAAACTTAGATTCACATGTCAACCCAAAGCTCACCTACAATAGGTACCCACTATCACCCTGAACAATTTAAGTCTCTCTCAGCTTCTGCAAGGCAAGAGATTAATTCAGCAATGCAACTACAATCCTGCCTGTCTCTGTTTGCTTCCCAATTCAATTCCCAAACGTATTGCAGTGTCTCTTAGCCACTCCATTCTCTGTAAATCAAACCGACTGGTTTCAGCAATCCTTCCTGCCAAACTGCTGTCTCTGTTACAAGTACAAACTTGAATCTTAGTCCTCATCCTGCTCCCCAGCCACCCTCCTTGGCACCCAACTTACCATGGTGAATGGGGAGCTGAGAAGAGCCAGCATCATGTTGGTCACAGAAATGTTGACAACGAAGAGGCCACTGGCAGTGTGCACTCTCTTGTACTTCATAATTATATGGTTTAAGACCCAGTTGCCTAGGATAGCAGCAAAGACCACTACGGTGTACCCTATCACTAGCCAGAACTGCGCCTGCTCGTCTTGGGACACCACTTCTGAAGGTAGGAGACCCGAAAGGTCAGCCAGCTCGTTCATGTTTGACATATGGTCTGGCAGCTTATCCATCATGGAGAGCACGCCATCTCGGCCAGCTCGACCAATCGCAGACGCGGCGCTGCACATGGCTTGCAGCACCTGGGAGGTGGTAGTGGTGATCAGGTCATCAAAGCCGCTAGGCACACTCAGAGCTTCAGGGGTCAGCTCCTCCTCGTAATTCATGGTGCCGGTGTTTGGAAATGCCCCTAAGGGCGATTCTATGGTGGGGGGAGCGTCCAGATTGACGCCTTTGGAGGACCTTCAGGTCCTTAAACTAATAGGTCAGGGAGCACCCGGGGAAGTGGCATAGAGCAGTGAGGCCCTGGATGGCGAGCTGGGCAGACTGCCCAGTGAGCTGCAGCGCTGAGCTAAGAAGGTATTCTCTACAGTGTCTGAAGTGGGAAGGGGGAAGAAGCGCCGTCAACCAGTAAGGAGTGGAATGGGCAAATGCGTAGAGCTGAGCTGGGCAGCTAAGCTTTGGGTGGCTGAACGCTGCTGCTGACTCCGAATGCGCCGCTCTTTTGGAGAGCGCACGCAGTGCCTATTCTGACCTGGAGACCTCCAGCGTCGCCTCTCCTCTGCGTAGTCCCCGGTCGGGTCGTTCCGACTCAATTTCTCTTGCCTGCAGTCAGTCGGTAAATCTGTGGATCCTAGGCCGGCTGACGCTGCGAGCAAGGCGGAGCCATGCGTTGCCACTAGCAGCCCCAGCCTGTGCTGGCTGTGCTTTCAGCAGCAGCCCTTTATAGAGAATCTAAGGGCTGGCGCGGGAGCCAATAGGGAGCCCTGAATGACCCCCGCCCTATCCATCCAAGCAGGGGCCCCAGAGCCATTGGCAGTCTTTACTGATCCAGTCTCATACCCTCTACCTTTTCTGCTCCTTTGGCTCTTCCTGCAACTGAAAGCCTAGACTTAAGGGCTCCCTTATCAACCCCCCTCCCCCTAATCTGCCTTCAGCAGCTCCCCGTTCCCTCACTCTGGGTTTCATTTCTGCACCAGTTCCCAAAGCAGCGACTAAGAGCTGTGTCTCAGGGAACTGAGAGGGGGGCTGTAGAGACTGTGGCTGTGACTGGACAGACTAAGCTGGATGCCTCATTCTGTACTAGCAACCCAGGCAGCCCTTGGGGGAAAGTGTTTCCCCAGAAAGGTCAGCACAAATTTGGGGGTTTACCAGCTAGAGTGAGATGGGGGCCGTTGGAGAATCTAGAAGGAACACCCAAGGAGTGTTTGAGAGCCCGAGTGAGCGTTGCCTAGAACAGAGGAAAGTTTAGTATTGGGAAGCTTTTGTAAACTGATGCTGACAGAGTTTAAAGCAGCAGCAGTGAAAGGAAGATGGAGCTCAGTCTTAGTGGTTGCAGTAGAAAAGAGGCTAGGGCTGGTGGTCCCAGATTTCTCTCCCCATGGGATTTTAAGTTACCTCTCAGAGGTGTCTAGAGACATTTGAGCCACAAGTAGAGCCACTGGGCTGCCTCAGTAGAGGTGCTTGAAGGAAACACAGCAGCAACCTGAGTCAGAGTTAGAAAATGTCCCTTTGCCTAGCATCACTCACCCTTCTCCCACTAATTTACAGGTAGAAACACAGGTTTGGGTGGAAGAGGGAAAGGAAGCTCATAAAATTAACTGCAGCACCGGAACTAGAACTGAAAATAGAAAAGTGGCAGTTCAGAGTGTTTTGCTATGCAGCAAGCTGTCCTCTGAGAAATATTGTTTATTTCATCCAGTTCCATGACATCCTAGTCAGCTTCTACCTCTCAGGGTGGTGGAGGAAGATAGCAGATGCACCTTTCTTCTCCTAGAGTATCTTAAAAGGGAGCCCCCTGATGTCAGTGATAGCAACCACTACTTATGAAGGCACAAACAGAAATTAATTTATTACACCATTGCCATCATCATCATCACCACTATCATCATCATTATCTAGGCATGAAAATCATGAAGTGACAATGAGGAACAAGCAAACTTTTGTGTGTGTGTGTGTGTGTGTGTGTGTGTGTGAGCGTGTGTGTGCATGTGTGTGTGTGTGTGTGCGTGCGCAGGCACCCTGGCCACATCAACAAAGTAGGAATTGAGACAGGTATCTAAGGATGTTACTACTAGTTAATTGAGTGTGCTCCTGCTTTGTGGGGAGATAGTGACTGACAGATTAACAGTGCATAGCTAATTCCAAAATCTAAACTGTGATTTTCTAAATGAAAGTTAAGCCTTCCAAATATGGACCTAGGCTAGGCTTAAAGACATTACATGGTTACTAGATAACTTTTTTTAAAGAGTAAGAAAGGACAAAAAAAGGAAGGAAAGTATAATTTGCTTGTTTAATCAAGCTGACACATAAACAAACACATTTGAAGGATTTTAATAAGTACTGACTCTCTCAGACAGTTTCATCCTATAGCAGGCACTGAATTAGGCTGAGAATCCCTGACCTCCAGTTGATCCCTCTATATCAGTTTCCAGAAGAAGTTTGCCAACATACATCAACTGACTACCTGGGTGAGCCTTCTCTGTGCTTGATCCTGAGCTGGCTTCTCAAAGGCCCAAAAGGGATTAAGATGGAATACCAAATGAAAAATGTGTTAACAGGTAGTCAAAAACAAGACTTTTGTAAAATTTAAATGAAGTACAGAGCAGGGGCATATATGCGAGCATCAGACATGAACATGTAGGTGAAGGTTGCTAAGTCTGTTAACTATAGCCCTTACCCTCTTTGGCCTCTCTGAATCAAGTTTCTGCACCTTTCAAAAGTGGGTTTTTTCTCAGAGGACAAGTGTGTGTCCCATACAATAACATTGCAGAGATGGATGTGATGAAGTGAGAAATTATGTATATTATATCATATTAGCATTCTCAAACTTGTGATTCCACTGTCGCTGTTTCTGCATCCCAGGTCCTGATGAACAAGTGAGTTCTTCTTCACCTCAAACCCATGAGTTACCTGAGATTTTGCAATGTGAACACAAAGGGAAACCTGGGACTAATGAGCTCACCAATGTACCCAGTATATCAGTGGAAGAACGTGCCAGGATTGGAAAAATTAGAACTCAGTAGTCTATCTTCGTGAGCAACTAACAGTTGCACTAAAGGGAAGAACCTCATCCAGAAATAGCTAATTCCAGGCATAAGATGTGCAGTCAGTGCTATAGGAGCAAATACCATAGGTTGAGGGCAGAGGAGGCTTTGCAGAGAAGTTCGCATTTGAGCTGGGGATTGAAGAGCCAGGACAAAATTCAGCAGAAAGGAAAGACAAGGAGAAGTTTAAACTTCACATCCCCTTCCCCAGAAAGTGGGAGTAAAGACAGAAAGAAAGAAAATGTTCTTGGCTTTTCCCAGGGGCAGGAAAAGAAGAGAAGGCTTGGAATGGAGAGTATAGTATGTGTGGCTGCTATGCATGTTTCTGAGTATTTCCATGGAATTAGGGTAGCTAAGAATTGAGGAAAATAATTACATACATGACTAATGGAAGAAGGAAGGCTTCTTGGCACCAGTAGGAATCAGAATAAGTACATACATTCATACATCTTTTCAAGTTATCTGTCTGCCCTACTCCTGACACACCACCCATTCTCCCTCCTTGAGTCCTTCTCCCTCCTTTTCCCTCTCCACTCATCCTTCTCAGATCAGAAACTTGATGCTGGAAAATGAGAATTCATCCATTCTCAGTTGAGTTCAGCCTTTTCTCCAGGGCTTGAGACTGAGCCACAGTGTCAAAATGAAATGAATTTCCAGGTTTCAAGAAAGAGACTTTATTGTGCCCCATCCCCTGCTATGCCAACAGTGAATGGTTCTATGTATTATAAAAATCTGTATCCTATACAGCTCAAATTCATCTCCTAGGAGCCTCTAAAATCCATTTTAACTCTGAAACTGATATAGCAGAAATATAACTTCCAACCTGCTAGATGTCAGATGTGCCAATATTGTGTCCCCTGAAATCAAAGAATGAAGTCTAAAGTACAAAGGAGGCTAAGAGTAAGACAGGTTTAATGGAGAACAGGAATAGCTCCTGAGAGACAGGAGTAGTTGCAAATGTGTTGTTACCCAGGCCCTGTGTCAGGGGTAATTTATACAGCCAAAATCACAGTATGGTACAATGTAGGTCAAGCTAAAATCAACATATAAGATTATAAGTATAACCACTTAGCTAATATTGATCCAATAGGGAAGGCACATAACAAGGGAATATGGACAGCATTATTAACCTTGGCTTGTGTGACTTCTAAATTTGCAACATTTTGGGAAGAGATTGATTCAGGTGTTGTTCTGATCACCCACCTACATAGGTTGACGCATATCTGGACTTAAAGGAGGAGGTGGTACTAGTTACAGTACTCTCTCAAGTTTCCATTTATCCCTTAGGGAGTATGCAGGTATACTCATTGTCGTATGTTATCTTGAGGCCTTGACTTCTTCAGATGTGCCTTTAGCAACAATTCTGATGTCTTTAATTTTCTGCTGACTTCCTTGAGTGCCCAGTCCCTCTCTGACTATATATTAATTTCCATCTAACTTAGCTGCCCATAATAAAAGCACAAAGAATCCTCATTTCAGGCAAAAATAGCTCTGAGTTCTGAGAACGGTGCACTTCTGGAAGTGCACAGTATCAGTCTTTGCAGACCATTCAAAACTATGTACAAGCTGAGCAACAAGCATGGAGGGGCTGTGTTCAGAACCCGGCTAAACCAGCCTCTTCAGTATGCAAAGAAGGCTGCTTACTGGAGCAAGAGAAGTCAGACTCTTGCTGTTTTCCTGCACTCTTTTTCTTTCTCCTCAGTTCCCCATCTCCATTAAACTGGAATTCAGGAAATGATCTATATGTCATTTTACATGTTAGTGTTCATTGAGGTAGTTATATTGTGTTCCTACAAGATTTATGTTACATAATCAAAAAGGAGTTGAGCTAGGGGAGAACAAGGCGTTCAATACTGCCTTCTCACACAGGGAGACAAAAAGACCAAGAAAGGGAAGAGCTATAGCCAAAGAGGATGTGTCAGGTCTATAGCCCAGGTTTCTCAATTGCTGTCTACTTGAGAGCTCTTTTCTGTGCTTTCAGCTTTCGAATTTGCTATGCTTGTGATTGTGATCTCTATTTTATTATTATACCTTATTTCTCTTTCCCTGAGAAAAGAGATGAGTCTGCTGGTGGGCAGACTCTTCCTTGTCACAAGTAGGCCTTGAAGAAAAATAGGTACAATGGCAAATAAATAAATGAATGCTTGACCTTAGCTGTCTACATATGAAATCTGAAAGATGGAAAGTTCATGAGAACCATCTGATATATCTGAACACTTCTTTTGGTCCAGAGAACAAAGTATTCCAAACTTTATCTTTTCACTGTTGTGAGTTAGTTGTGAGCAGTGACCTCTAAATCCTGTTTTGCTCCTAATTTATAAGGCAATCTAATTTAATATAGGGTTTGTGCCTTGCTACTTCTTTGCTTCCATCTCCTTGCATGTACAATGAAGGAATTGAAATCAATATTCTAAGGATCCTTCTAGCGCCAACATCTTGCAATTATGGTCATTATACACAAAAATAAACCTGTTTTTAAATTTTATATTTGAAACTGCAGTCAAGGTGTTGAAATAACCAAAGAAGTAGTTGATCATGTGCTTTCAGCCTGTGTAAATGAACATGAGGTGGGTAGGGCAAGTGGTTCTTAGCGATATGTGATAATAGTGATCATAATACAACAGCAACCCAAACACAGGTGAGAACAGCTGGAATTAGTGCCCTGAGTCTTCCCTCTATCCCTGGAAACACAGCCACTTTGATGATAGGGCGTAGAAAGGCAGAAATATAAAAAATTGAGGATGAGGTCCAACAATTTAACAAACAAATTATCTCCGTTCCCCTTAAAAGTGAAGGCCATATTAGTTGCCAAACTTTCCAATAAATATATATCCACTGTTTACCAGGCACTATTCAAGTATATAGATATGACAATGAACAAGACAGACAAAATCTCTATCCTCATCAAATTTAAATTCCATGAAGGGATGAATCACCTAGATAATGAGCACATAAGCAAGATAATATCTCATCATAGCAAATGTTATGAAGAATGTATAATAAAGTGATAAAGAGAAAGAGGTTGGTGTGTGCATTGCTCATCAGAGTGGATGCACAAGGTGGGAGGGTGATATTTGAGCTGATACCAAAATGATGAGTGAACTCACCAAACAAAACTGTAAGGTGAAGGAGAGGTATCCTAGGTGGAAGGAACACCAAGTACAGAGACCCTGAGATAAGAACAAGTTTGGGGTGTTCAGTAAACAAAAAGAAGGTCAGTAGAGGGAGAATGACAATAAGCAAAAAGAAAGTAGTTTGAGAGAGTTCTTCTCATCTTCAAAAAGTCAAAAAGATTGTAATAATATCTTTCACAGTACAGAGCATTTTACAATACATTCAGTACTTTCTTATTTTTTATGTCATTTGATGAGAACAGTAAGCTTGCAGGTATGTAAAGTTACCCTCATTTTACTGACAGGGAAATGAGGCTCAAAATGTGAAAGGGAGATGTACTCATTTACAAGTCAGGCTTACTAAAATGTGAGTTTTATTTGCTTATTTAGTCATTTTTTGGTCCAGTCCCATATTGTGTTTTTCAGTGTGGCCTGACATAATGTATACCTTGCCCTCCTCAGTTGCTTATAATGTTGCATCATTTTTCTCCCTAAGCCTGGCCAAGTGACAGGCAGGTGAGGCCTAGGAGCTTAACGAGATCTTCAAGGCATAAAGTGTAGCCACACACTTTTGCATTGGCTGTGTAAGCTTGCTGGGTATGCTACTGGGATTTAAACCTTATTGGTGACAGTGAACCTCCCCAATGCAGGTAGCATACTAACCACCAAGTGAGGGAAATTGGCCTGAAAAAATGTGGTTATGGATTCAGCCAGCATCCAGCAATGCTGTGAAGAGAAAGTAGTGTGCTTGGTAGGGAGATTCTGTCATTGAAAGTATATTATTTCAAATAAATTTAATGATGTAATTCATATTCTTCTCACAAGAGTTCATCAAATAGCCATCTGCTCATCATCTTCCTTTAGCTGATGAATGGAGATTTAAGCAAGTTATTATTGTGTTATGTTTCTGCATTTTGAAAAGGCAATGTTGAACAAACTAATTCATATTAGGAACATTCGCCCTCCCTCTTTCACATTGCTGATCTTGATGTTTCTTGTATAATGAAAAGAACATTAGTCTCTACTGCCAAGAGAAGAGGGGTTTTAGTTCACACTCAGTTCCCTTTTCCCTATATAAATTCAGACAAGTAACCAATCGTGTCTGAGTTCTGATTTCCCCAGCAGTGAAATGAGCATAATGATATCTGTCTTTCTACACTCTTAGGATAACTGTGATGATCATATATGTGTACATGAATGAATGCACTTTTAACAATAAAGTATTGTTATCATTGTGCATTCACACCATTGTTTCGTATCCTCCTTTTTCTTTGTAAAATATCATCTTATAAATTTGTATTTATTCATGTATTTGTATTACAAAATAGTTTGTTCATTTTAGGGAATTAATGCATGCATATGGCATATCTTGCTTTTTTTCAATCTCTTTACCTCACTCTCCTTTGCCCCTGGTGATCCCCTTTCCTACCTCCAAGAGTCTAACTTCTAGTTTCCCATCATATTTTTCTTTCTTTCTTTCTTTCTTTCTTTCTTTTTTTCTTTCTTTCTTTCTTTCTTTCTATGCTAAGCTTTGCATATAAGAGAAAACATGATATTTGCCTTTCTGAGTCTGGCTTATTTCACTTAGCATGACACTCACCACTTCCATCCATTTTTCTGAAAGTGATACACTAATTCAGAAATTGCATTTTGACAATATCCTCATTCTGTTGGTATGCACGTAAAATCTGAAATGCATTTCACTTACCTTTTGTAGGGAAAAGTGAAGTTCAAGATGGCTACACTATGGTTCAGGCTGGGAAGTAGGATAATTTCCAGGGGACTTTTAATTCAAGCCAATAGAATTCCAATGCAGGAGCACTTCCTGATGTACTGATATAAATAACTGATACAACCAAGGTGGATGTTAGCTAGTGTAAATAGCTTATGTTAATCAAAATCCTTACTGGCGCGTAGCCACTATAATGTAGACCCCTTTATATAGCTAGACTACCACAAAGGCCAGTGGGTTAGGGGCCTGAGGACCGCAACAGACATGCCTGAGTAGCACCTGAAAATAAAGATGACAAGTCCAGCCCACTGTTCTCTGTCTCTTCTTCAGGCTGCCTAAATCTTAAGTGAACCTTTCAAATCTGAACTGACAGCAAGACACCCGTAAATCTAAACTGTGCTACCATGTTTTTTAAAAGGATGCTAATCTTAATTGAAATAGATGGGAAATCAACTACCTACTATGTTTCAAAGTCAGCCACAAATTAGTATCACCTGGCTAGCTTTAACTATTACTGATGCCTGAGTACTACCTCCAAAGAGCTTCACATAATTGGCCTATTGGTCTGAGTATATGGGACTTTTAAAAGCTCCTCAAATAATTCTAATGTGTGTCAAAGTTTCAGAAGCATTCCAGTGTTTGAGAAATTCTGTATGAAGTGGTTCATATGGGTATAAAAACATGTTCTCTGTAAAATGATTGTTTTACTTAGAATACAGAAGAAGCAAAAATCACTGTGAGTAGAAAATTTGAGTTTCCAAGAAACAGAGCCAGAAAGAGTACAAAATGAAAAATAATAAAATTTGGGGGTCAGAGAGGATTTTTTTCGGTTACAGTCTCCATCCCACTGACGTATCTACAAATCAGGTTTTATTCTCAGACCTGTAGGGGAGGTTGTAAATTGAAAAGCATAAATTATGTAGGTGACTTAATGCTTGGTCACTTCAATAGCCATAATGAAGCCATTTTAGCCCTTGACTTCAGCAGGTGAATAGAGGTTTCTCTTCTGTGGTGTCAATGAATATACTACCACCTGTCCCTGAGAACCATGCCAAGCCACACTGGCCTTGATGTGAGCTCAGGCAGCATCATGCTACATTTGCTTCCTCGCCTTATGTTAGCTAACTTTTTTCCATGCTCTCTCTATGGACAACATTAGTTTTTGGGAGGCAGCATCTGAGTCTTGAACATTCCCCAAATCCTTGGCATACTCTCTGTATAAGAAATATATTTAACTTTGTCAAACTTCATTCAATTTAAATAAAATATAGCACCATACTCTATTTTATCATAATTCACTCTGTTGTTATTATTTTCATAGATGTCATGAGAGAAATGCAAGCTAGCACACCGTTCTTTGCAATCTGGCATTAACTTTCTTGAGGTATGTCAACAAGAAGCCCCTCTTTGTACCTTGCTAATCTGATTGTACCTGTTGAGCTAGCATGGCTTTCCCTGGTTTATTAGAAGGTAGGAAATTAGAAAAATTATAAATGAGGCAAAAAGTCACTAGGAGCCAAAGCTAACTAAACAATGTAGAAATGCAAATGTTAATAAGCAATAAGCAACAAGTCTGCGCAATTGCTATAGCTACCCAGGCTCACCAATCACTCTAACTTAATCATTTCCCATAAAGAGCTCTAGAATTTACCAAAGTAGAAAGAAGTATTGATTTCCCAAGACAGAGAATACCTCAATGACCACACCATGTGAGAACTGAGGCCAAAGAACAGAAAGAACTTGATCAAAGGTACATAAGGAGCTTAGTGTTTTAGTTCTAAAGTTTTGTCTACTTCTACTCTAACTACATATTAGTTGCTCCTTTTTATGGAAAATTTTCCATAAGACCACAATAGAATAATAAAATTCAGACTT